ATTTACATCAAACCTAAGGCTAAGACTGTGAGGAGAAGCAAACCAAACGGCTTGAATAGAAGGACATGAAAAAACAAAGATGAACTAGAGACTCTTCCCCCTATAAATAAAACACAAAATTTCTAGGAAATTCTAAAACCTCTATTAATCATAATAGAAGAAACAGAAGGAGCCTAAGAAGAAGTTTCAGCCTTCAAACCTGTCTAATTGAAGCTTTAATGTGAGGTGAAAGATGGTTGCCTCGAAGAGCCCAAAGAGTATTAATAGCAGCCTTAACTGAGAAAAAACCAGTTCTAGACTAGTCTAAACAAACGGAACACTGGGAACAGTTGTATATACATAAGTATTTAGAATGATATCAGCCCAATAATCAATATAACACTCCCCTGACTTTACCAACACCCTAGGAAGGCAGGAACCATCATTCTGCAACAAATCTTTAATAACTAAGCCACTATGACTTACATCTACAGGACCAACATTTGCTTGTAATGAAACTTTATAACCTAGGCTACATGAATTGAAAGGTCCTTAATATATATACAATTAGACTTCCAGATCATAGAGGAGCTTTTGTTTTATAGGAAAGGGAATATGCTTCTGAGACAAATTAATATGTAGCCCTATGGATTCTAACCCATAAAGCTAAGCCCCTATTAAAAAATAACCAAGTTAACTTCGACTAAAGATCTTTATTCACTTCAGTAGCCTTCCTAATTTCTAAACCACCCTCAGATTTATGAGAGCACAAATTGTCCCAACTAGTCCATTTAAAAGGAACTAATTTGAACAATTCGATCAATTGACCTGTTCACTGAAGTGGGTGTTTGGAATAAGGACATTGCATAATTGGGCACAACCTGGTAACACAGACTAAGGAGGAAAATGTAAGGAAAGGAAAGATAGAGAAACCAATACAAGGTTTGTAAAGGTTTCTTTACTTTTTCTTTCCTTTCCCTACATTTTCCTTCAAACCAAACATAGCCTAAAGAACTAATTTTCCTTCCTAGGACAAATTTGAAACTCTCCAACCATTAAGTTTAGTCTTCAAATTTTTCAATATATAAGACTAAGAATGGGCTTTATTTCAAGTCCAAAACAAAGGAACTCCTAAATATTTAGATTGACAATCCAGATTGCCCATCCTTATCCTTAACTACCTTTTCAAAAGTTTTTCACCTTATGACTAATATCCTACTATAAAAAATAGTAAAAACTATACTGCACTCCACCTCAGAATTCTAAATTCCACAGACCTACAACAATTCAAAATTTCAAATACCCCCACCTATAACATCAATACCGTCCCTTGTATTGGCATCAATTCCGAGCTGGCACCTACCCCAATTGTACGATGGCGATAAGATTTGTTGAGGTGGACTGAATAATAAAAACTTGTTACAATTAATTAGCTGTCCTAACATAGATTGAAACAACTCTATTGCATCTAACAAATTAGCAACATCCTCCCTAAAGGCTTTAAGAAAAAGAAACACATCATCAGCAAAAAATAAATGAGAAATAAATGGAGGATCTCGACAAACCTTGTTCCCATGAATAATGCCAGAGTTTTCAACTCGAACAAGAAGCCTAGAAATACAAATAAGGGGAAAGTGGATCCCCTACCTCAGCCCATAAGAAGGAGCAAAACTCTCCCGAGGTAAACCATTCACAAGAATAGAAAAAAAAGAAAAGAAAAATACAAACATAAATCAAATCATACCAGACATGAGAAAAACCTAGGGCCCTAAAAATGGCCAAAATATAATCCCATTCAATCCTATCATAGGCTTTCTTCCACAAATAAATGCTATTAATTAGATCCATGTCCAAAACTTTTAACAATATAAACCCATATATTTTAAAACTTACTAAAAAACAAAACCATTCTTTACCCAAACTAAGCAATTCAACCATCTGAATCAAATTGGTCAACCCACCATAGTTCAATAATAAAATTTTTAAATAGAAATAAATAAATATAGAAAATTATAAAAATGTAGAAAAAATAGACACATTTATGATATTTTATTAATCAAATTAAAAGATAAGTGTAATAAACAAAAATTATTTTTATTGATGATGAAAATGAAACACATAATCTAAAACTAACCAAAAAATTAAATTATTTTCCTGTTTAATGAAGATTAATAGTTCATAATAAAAATAATAATAATTAAATGTTGATAATTGATTATGTGATATGTTCCCGTGCTGAAGTAATAAAACATAAAAAAACACAAAAATGAAAAAAATACATAAATTTTACAAAAAAAAAACATTTGGACACGTACAATATCTTGTCATATTAAACAAAAAATAAGTGTACATAACAGTATTATTTTTACACACATAGAAATAAAAAAAAATGCACACATCTATAACTCCATATTTACACTGTTACTAAAAATATGAATAAGATTGTAGAACTTTCTTTTGACTAAAATACCCATTTTCAAATTTAATCACTATTTAATTATGAGGTTTAAAATATAGTTTGAAGTACAATTTTCATATCATTCAATTCCCTCTCTTTAAATCTTACATTTTTTTTTTTATAATTGAACAATAAAAATACACTAGTTAAAAAGATAAAACATTACAAAAAGAAGAATCCGCCAAGTAGGTAGGCTGTGAATGATACTCAAAACTTTGCAGCCCAATATGAGGTGCTTACATAATCAGATTCGGATTTTGCAATCTGCATCCAATTAATAGTGAAAAACAAAAAAAAAGTAAAAATTAAAAAATACATGAATTTTATAAAAAAAATTGGATACATTATCACTATCATTATCATTATCTAGAATTTCCACGTGCAAAGCACATGCATACGTACTAGTGTTTCATAAAATAAAGAATTTTCTGGGTAATTATAACATTATCCATAATAGATCTACCGGAAATAAAAGCATTCTAAAATGGAGAAATGCACTTATCCAATAAAGATTTCAATCTACTAGCTAAAATTTTAGTTATTACCTTATAGATCACATTACAACCACTAATATGTCTAAAATCCTTGACCTGAACTGCATATTCTTCTTAGGGATTAGAGAAATAAAAGTTCTATTAAACTTTCTCAAAAATTGATGATTGACAAAAAAAAAGATCTTACACATTATATAATATCATCTTTCATTTCATCACATCATAGTTAAAAAAAAACATTGGTTCAAGAGCCTTTAAATTAACATATGAAGAAAAGAATAGATTTAATGATCCTCCATAGGAATGAAAATAAGCCTATCATTTTCTTCATCATAAATCTATACTATTATAAAAAGTACCAATATGGTCTAAGATTTCTGGATTGTTTTTTTGGATTAAAATACCCATTTTTTAAATAGGATCCCTATCTATTATGAGGGCAGAAAGTGTAATTTGAATACTATTATTCATTGCATTCAATTCTCTCTCATTGAATTCCATTGAAGGTATTAACTCTCATTCACCCTCATTTAACCATATATTTAAGGCATTTTTGTTTTTTTAGTTTCTAAATTTCACTAATTAAATCCATACATATATAATTCTAATAACATAAAAACTTGTACTTTTGAAATTGACTTGGAAAAGCAGTATTTTTATGTGGTGGTAAGAAATTAAACAATTTAGGGTCAAATAGGCCACCCATGTCATTGTTGCCACAATTAAATAATAAAAAATTAAAACTTGATAAAATGCAAAAAAAAATATAGAAATTAAAGTACAAATAGGGTCTAAGATTTTTGGAATTTTTTGGACTAAAATACCCTTTTTTGAAATACGGTCCCTATCTATTATGAGGGCAAAAAAAGTAATTTGAATACTATTATTCATTGCATTCAATTCCCTCACATTAAATTCCATTTAAGGTATTAACTCTCATTCACTCTCATTTAACCATACATTTAAGGCATTTTTGTTTCTTTTAATTACTCTATTCCACCAACTAAATCCATGCCTAAATATTTCTAATAACATAAAAAAACTTGTGCTTTTGAAATTGATTTGTAAAAGCAGTATTTTTATGTGGTGGTAAGAAATTAAACAATTTTGGGTCAAATAGGCCAACCCATGCTACATTGTTGCCACAATTAAATAAACAAATTAAAACATGATAAAATGCAAAAAATATAGAAATTAAAGAAAATTTTGGGAACATCTTTAATATCATATATTTGTCATACTAGACAAGAATAAGTATGATAAATAAGAAATACTTTAATTAATGATGGAAATGGAATATAAAATTTAAAACCAATTGAAAATAAAATTATTTTCCTATTCTCTCTCATTAAGTCTCATATCTAAGGTATATATTTAAGATATATTTTTTCTCAGCATTAAATTCTATTAATTAAATCCACAACATTGATTTTAATAATATAAAAATAAATATTTTGAAAATAAAACCATTTTCTTCCCTCCCACTGGATAAGCAATTCAACCATTTGGGTTAAATGGGTTAATCAATAATGCCATAATCAAATAATAAAAATCAAAATAAATAATATATAAAAATATAAAAAAAGGAATTGGGCATATCTCTAATATTATATATTCATTATACTAAATAAAATTAAGTATGAAATGTAAGACATATTTTTATTAACGATGAATAATAAATATTTAAAAAAGATAGAACACAAAAAATGAAAAGTATACAATTTTATTGAAAACATTTGGGGACATTTCTAATGTTATATATTCACTATATTAAATAAAAATTATTTTTATTTATGATGAAAATAGAATACAAAATTAAACAACAACAGCAACAACAACAACAATAATAATAATATTAATAATTGTCATTGTAACTTAAAATTTCAACGTGCTTTACTAGTAATTGAAATTGGACCAAAAAGATCAGTCTTTCTAAATTATGACATCCCTTAGATTGGTATAATTTCTTAAAAGATCCACTATAATACTTAAATTCTGCTACTAATTATTTGTCCAGTTACCCTGATCATCCTTAGGACAATCAATTCTATTTCTCCCTTCTGACTGAGACTGCAAAAATGAAGCAATTGGACCAACACAGCCTAAACCCAACCTAAGCTCAATTTGATGTGTCATATGGGGCTCAACAACTCGTTAGGTTTGGTTTGCCACTTCACGGGCTCTCAGACAGTCGGGTGTCAGAGGCTCTGAAAAAAATTGTAATAAATTAATGATTCTTGCTGGAGAAGAAAAATGAGAAAAGAAAAGAAAAGAAGAAACCCGGTCGGCGATTCACTCGGCATAAAGGGTGTTGAGGTCGGAGTAGCTCTGTAGATCATCCTCGTTCATTCACGGCTGAAAGCAAGAGCCGAAACATGGCCAACGAAGGTATTGAGATTGAGAGCGGTCTCGTTCGTCTCTGCATCGAGGTTGCCAGCGAAAACGGAGAGAGTGTAGATAAGTGGCGGAGACAGCGAAGAACTCTCGAACGAATGCCCTCCCACCTCGCGGAAGCTCTTTTCCATCGTCTACTCCGTCGTCGGCTCCTCTATCCTTCCCTTCTTGAGTAGGATCTAATTCTTTTGTTTTGCTTTTTCCTGCTTAATTTCATATGTTACTCCTCAAAACAAGATTTACTTTCAGTTTGTTTCCGTTGAATTCGGATGTTTGTGGACCATTTGATTGGAAAAACCCCTCGGCTTGATTGGTATATTAGGATTTTTTTTTTCAGTTGGTGGAAAACCATAAATTAGAAATTCAAAGTTTCTCTTGTAATTGATTGACACTAAAGAAGTGGTTATTCTAATGTTAAATTAAGCGTCAAAGTGATAATTCCATGCCTATACTAGAAGCTTTTATTTCTTAATTGTAGTTAAGGTTCTGATGCGTGATATAGATGTTATTAGTTAGTTCGGTCGTCTGATGCAAATGACCGAATACAAATTTCTGAGAAACAAACCCAAATTTTGTATCATTCTTGGGAAAACCATTTACCATGGTACCGCACACTGTTCTGCAGAACTTCAGTCAATATCATTTTGTATTCAGCGTGACAGAGGTGATGGAGGCTTGGCTCGTATACCGAATATCAAGCACTTATTACTTGTTTTCGGAGATGGATTGCTATATTTTGGGACTTTAGGAAATCTCATTGGTGGCTAGACTAAATTATGTTTCTAATGGTTTCATCTTCGTGTTTCTTACAAGCACAAATCAGGTACTTCGAAATAGGCTACCCTTTTTGCTTTATTTTCTTATTAAACACGTACTAAAATTACACAAGTGGGACACTTAGATAGGGAATCACCTGTCTGATCCTTAATTGCATAAGTGAGATATGGGTCATCTCAACACGAGTGGTTATCCTGAATAATCCACTGTATTCTCCAAAATGGAGCTTTTTGAAATGGAAACCTTGTTAATTTGGGTGTTTCATCGACATATATGTGACTTTATATTGGGTTAATCAGGCAGCCCTAGTCACCTATAGCATAGTGTTAACCTAGGTGACCAAAGCTTATTTTGACAACTCATCTAATGTCTAAAATGAGTTGGTAGGTGTTATGACCCAGCCTTGCCTCTCCACATGACTTAAGTTGTTCTAGGTGACTGAACTGAATGAAGCCTTCATTAACAATTTGGGGGTTGGCTACACAAGTCCTATGTTTGTGTTCCACTCTAGAAAGGACCATATTACTTCGTTGAATTGTCATCTATTAGGCTTTTTCTCCCTACTTCAACCACACCCTTTTCAGCCTCCCTAGCTTTTTTTTTGGAACCATTAACTAGAAAATTGGCATAAATGACTAAAAGTCTTATAATTCATAGTTGTCAAGGCATTGCCTAGGCAACTAGGCGCCCTTGTTTGGGTGCCTCGCCCAAATGCCTTGACTTTTAGCAACTAGGCGCCTGCCTAGGCGACAAAAATGACAAGGCGGGCACCTTTTATAATATCATTTATGTTGCTGTATCTTATTAATGTATGTGTTAATACATTTTATTATATGCTATATATATCAATTATACTTTGTTTTAATGTTTTACTATTGAAATTTAAAAGATCAAAGGGTTTTGAGAAGAGAAAAATAAAGAAAGAAAAGAAAGAGGAAAGAAAGAATAGAATAATAAAGTTATTTTTTCTATTCTCTCTCTCTAATTAAATAAAACAGAAACTCCATCCTTGTTTTTTTTTTTCTATTTTTCTTTCTATCTTGAATATTTATCATATAAAGTTGATAACCATCCTTAGCTGCTAATTAATATGAATTTTCTCTATTAAATACTTATTATAGTAGTATTATTTTTGAAAATAATGAAATTAATATATGTAAAAGATTTTTATCTTTTAGATGTGATGATTTTCCACATTTTTGGAGGAAATTTAATGTTCTTAATAAAGAGAATTGCTATTTTTTCAATTAACATACATGCTGAATGGTATATAAAACTAGGAAACTAGCCAAAAGCCAGATTTTTATATTATAAAATTTTTATCGCCTAGGCGCCCACCTAGACGACTAGGTGACTAGGTGCCCCCGTGTCGCCCAGAATCGCCTAGACGCCTTGAAAACTATGCTTATAATGTTTTGTTTCCCAAATGTCCTAACAATGTAATTTCATCTAGATAGTTCTTTTATTATGATTTTTAACCTTGAATGAGTAGTGCCCTAAATTGGTCTTAGGGAGATCACTGATCATTTAGAATCCTTGTCCCAGGTTCTCATTCGTAGGTAACCAGGCAGTCAGCTTCTGATGAAGATTGTTGGACACAGAATATATCCTAAGTTGTTCATAGGTGCCTTGTATCTACCAATTTAGGTGATTTTAAATTGCTAATTACTTGATAAGGAATTTAGATGAACTTTGTGTCCACATATCATTTTTGATGAAAACTTACACTTTGAGATGGATTGCCAGGTGACTGGGTTGTAGCGTCAATGAGTTCATGGCATGGATAAACTGACTGGATATATTGTTCATATGTATTTTAAAACAGTTCCATCTTTTTTGCTTCATATTTGAATTGTTGTATTAATTATATGTAAGTTTGGGCTGTTCTTTTGTTACTCATAGAGTTCTGCATTCTTTCTTAGAGTGGGTTTGGTTTCTGTCTGTTCTTTTTCCATCTGTGATCTGATCTTTTATTATCTTATTTTCTTTTATAGAGTTTTCCAACATTGTATAGAGGATATTGATTTGAAAGGTGAACATTTGGTGGACGCTGAGTGGATGGCATACTTGGGTGCATTTCGTCACCTTCGGTCTTTAAATATTGCAGATTGCCGGGCTATCAATAGCTCTGCTTTATGGGCTATCACTGGTATGTACCTTACTAAGTTTTCTATTCCAATGAGTTTTTTGGGATATGAAGAATTTGTGCTGCATTCTCTTTAGTGGGTTGGATGGTCTTCTTAGTTCATATTTGTTTCTGGTGCAATGAACAATCTGAAGATACACGATATTCAATCTAAGAAATTCATAAAGGCATCAAAAGTGATTCTTCCTCATTCTATACCCTTTACACATCACCCAATGATTGATCTGTCTCTTAGTCAATAGGCAGTACTTTGAATAGGGCATGGCCCTGAAAAAAATACTGGTTTAGTGCTGAGAAGAGTGATCTTAACCCTTCCATTCTGTTACAAGTATTTGGATGGCTGTATGTCAATGAAATTGACTGTAAGGAAGAAGGTCTATTATCATCTGGTTGATTACATGTTCCGTCTTCCATCAAATAAAACATATCCACTTGGTCTGGTTCCTTTTTGATTCCTCATTGGATAGCATATCAATGAGTGATATGTGTGATGATTGAGCATCTTTGATTCTCCCAGACAGCACATAATGTGACATGTTTATTTTTTCATATGCATGTGCCTGCAGTAGATCAAGAAGGACATGGGTTGAAATAGTTGGGATAAGTCTTGGATGATGATGGTGATGAATTTAACAATGGATATAGCACTAAACGGAATGTTAAAAGTGGATTCATGTAGCCGACCTCATATAGTTGGGATAAAGCTTAGGTCATGATGATGATGCATGTGCCTATGGTTTGAAGATGTTTAATGTTCAGTGCTTGGAAGGAATTACCTACTTATCTTTTTCTGTTTTTTCTGGTTTTAGGGATGACTAGTTTGAAGGAGATTGACCTTTCTAGATGCATAAGGGTTACTGATGCTGGTATTGTGCATCTTCTATCAATTCCAAATTTGGAGAAATTATGTGTCTCAGAAACAGGTCTCACTGCTGATGGAATTACAAGGATTTCTGCCCTTAAGAATCTGTCTATGTTGGATTTGGGAGGTCTACCTGTCACTGATCTGGCATTGAGTTCACTCCAGGTATGCTGTTTCTATTCTTTGAATTCACTACTCTTGGACTCTTCGCATGCCCTTCTTGGGCTGGTTGATTTGGAGCTTTGCTTTTGTCTTTCACTTGGTGGATGTTTATCATGAATTTCTCTCTATTGTTAGTCAATGATAAACATTGGGCTTATAGATTTGTGCTAATTGTAAACTAAATAAACCTTAAAAGATGTAGATAGTAATATAGTTTTGACTTTTGACCTATAGTGTGTTTACTCTGCTATGGTGTTGGGGGAAGGGGGATTGTCAACCATCTATTTCTTTCTTTTTTTTTGATAATTAACCATCTATTTCTTTCTTGTCCCTACTCATCTATGGTGTGGACTGTGGAATCATTTTTTCACCTTTTTCGGGTATTTGGTCCAGCCTGACTAACACATAGGAGCTGTTCAGTGACCATATTTGACCTCTAAATACTAAAAGGGGAAGAATTTTGTGGTCATGCACTAGAGCAGCTGTGTGGGAAAGGAATGCAAGAGTCTTTGATAACAAATCAAGAGATGGGCACAATATAATAGAGAATACTGGGGTGAAGACAACTCATGGTGCTAACTACCAAGGAGTTAAAAAGACTAAAACCTGGTGATATATTACGATGTTGGGTGAAAGTGGCTAGATTCTCCCTTATAACCATATTTAGAGTACATGATCTGCACCAGAGATGGGGAAACTGAAACTCAACTTTGATGGGTGCAGTCTAGGAAACCTGGGACCCTCAGGCATAGGTGTGGCAAGAAGCCATCATGAAAATATCATGATGAGTTTTACAGGGTCAATTTGTATAAGGAACTCATTAAAGGCTGAGATATATGCACTTCAACAAGAATTAAAATTAGCCCAACCACTGGGATGGTCTAATCTGATGATTGAAAGGGACTGCAAGGTGGTTTCTGATGGCTGATGAACAAAAATGAGGATCCTTGGAAGCTTTGATAGGACCCTTATTGCTTTGGCATCCAATCTGAACTGCTTGTTTAGATAGGCTCCTCGATCGGCTAATTCAATAGCTGATGATTTGGCTAAGACTGGAGTGACTAGGAGCAGTTTCTATTGGGAACACCAGGTCCACTGGTCCAGGCATTGCTTTTAATCTGAATTAATGAAAACTCTTCCCTTGGTTCCTCAGCTTCATGATGCTTGTACAGTCTCCTTATATCTTTCTTGATGCATTGATGTTCTGAGTTAATACAGATATTTATTATTAGCAAGAAATTATACCAAAAAGCAACAATTTAGTGCTATTTAAAACCTGTTTCTTTCCAATATATACTGTTATTTTCAACTAAAACTCTAATTTGAATTCAGTACCGAGGTTCATAATACTTTCATTTTTTGCTTGTTAGGTATTGACAAAACTGGCATACCTTGATTTGTGGGGAAGCAAAATATCCAACAAAGGAATTTCTGTTCTTGAAATGTTCCCGAAGTTGAGTTTCTTGAATCTAGCTTGGACCAATGTTACTAAATTGCCAAATATACCTTCTCTTAGATGCCTAAACATGAGTAACTGTACAATCCATTCTATATTTGAAGTGGGAAACAGTGAAGTTAAAGTTCCTCTTCTAAGAAAGCTTCTTCTCACTGGGGCGACATTAGTTGATGTTGATGAGGCATTCTCTCATATTGAAACGAATTACCTGTCCTTCTTGGATTTATCACAGTCTTTGCTTGACAAGTTTCAGTTTTTGGCTGGTATGGGTTCTTTGGAACATTTGGAACTCAGCTTTAGCAGGATGGGAGACGATTCTATTGAACTGGTTGCACATGTTGGAGCAAATCTTAGATATCTGAATCTCAGCAACACAAGAATTAGCTCAGCAGGGGTAGAGATTTTAGCTGGACATGTTCCAAACCTTGAGAGCTTATCGTTATCTCAGACAGCTATTGATGATGTTGCCCTCTCATACATCAGCATGATGCCTTCTTTGAAGGTTATCAATTTAAGCAACACAAATATTAAAGGTATAACCTTTTTAGTGGATAAATGTCACAAGTTTTTCTTTTCCACATCCGCAACATGTTGACGTAACGGAGGGGTGTCTATAGGTCATCCTTTTTCATGAGGATCAGTCAAGTGGGTTGATTGTAGCTGTCAGATGCATTTACTGTTTCTAGGTCAAAAAAGCACTACATTTCTCACAGGGAAATTCTGGGTGCTGGGTTATGATGTGTAGACTACCAGCAATATACTAGCTTACTTGGCACTGGTACATGTACAATGGTGCGAGCGAGGAGTAGGAGAGGCTTGCCATTTTGTGAGTCAATCTTGAAGTCCTCCTATATGAAAGACCAACCTAACTGGTATTAATTGCATGATTGTGGAGAGTCATGAATGACGTGGACAATGTTCATTAGAGAAAGTGAATGGGAGCAATAAACAGTTGTTCTGCATCCCTGAAACTATGGGATTCAGCCCTCCTCATTTTATTCATGCTTCAATTAGCAGGTTTTTTCATTATTAAGGCATTGGTGCAAATGGAAACTCCTTATGTAGGAGTGAATTATCCCATATGTGATGTTTATAAGCATTCTATATTACTTATGCCAAATATAGATTATAGAATAACCACTCCCAGAGGCCACACTTCCATCAATTTATATTAAAACAAGGACATATATGAAATGGGAATGGTGTGCCGTCCTCGCAATCTACCTAAATACAATCCCAAAATTTGCACATTCAAAATAGTGATGATGTTTATGGATGTGAATTCCTGGGCAGGGCCATCATCAGAATAGGTGAATCCATGTACAATGTGTAGGGTAGGGTGCTTTTACAAACATTATCCTCTTCTAACCACACAAAACTGATGATTCATTCTTGTTTATGTTGTGCTATATCAGGCTTCAATTACAGCACAAGCACTGAGCTGGATCGGGTTCCCTCACTGATAGCATTGCAGAATCTCAAACATTTAGCAAGGTTGAATTTGGAAGATACCCAACTCAAGGATGCATCTTTATATCCTTTGTCCACTTTCCAAGAGTTGAATCATTTGGCTCTGAAAAGTGATTTCCTTTCAGACATCTCTTTGCACAATCTGTCATCTATCCCAAAGTTGAATTTTCTCGGGATTCGTGGTGCTGTATTAACCAATGCTGGACTCGATTCATTCAGACCATCAAAAATGCTGGAGACACTGGATCTGAGGGAATGCTGGCTTTTAACACAGGATGCTATCACATCATTTCAGGAAAATTACCCTCAAATTGAACTGGTTCATGAACTTGCTAAAGCTCCCTCTTGGGACCAGAGTACCTATGATCGTTCGACTACATCACAAGGAAACGCCAAAACTTTACAATTGAGACAGAAGGGCAAAACACTGCTGACCCAACATAGATTCCAGAAGGAAAGATTCATAGGTAGGAATTACTTTTACCATTATTTCCCTGAATCACCACCAGCCTATTTTACTTTCTTTCTGATTGCATTTTTCTGGAATAGATGAAAGGCTGAAATATAGCAGAGAGGAACTACTGGAGTTGCAGTTCTCACTTTTGTCTTGCATTCCTCTTGAAGGCAGTGGTGTTATGCTTCCAAAGATGCTACTGAAGTAAATTGGAGGTTCAACCATTAATTCTAATCTGGGCACCCAGCCACCCATCTATACATTACATATCTTGTTCTTTCAACAGGAAGATGTGGCAAGTAAATTTATGTACATTATTTTAGATCATCATCATCGTCCAGCCTTATCCCAATTGTATGAGGTTGGTTACATGATTCCTGTTTCACCATTCTGTTCTGCCACATCTATTGTTAAATTATGAGTGCTTAAATCATTTTATTTTCTACTTCAACCCATGTCTTTTTTGGTTTGGTATAGATAAGGTACATTATCTTAGATGATCATATTTGTCTTGTATTCAAAAATGACCAGAAAGTCTCCATATTGTGCGCAGGAGGCCTTTGTGTTATTATTAGCTTGTTACATCTCAGTTGATTTATTAATATGACATTTTTGGAACGCTTTTTGGAATTTTGTCAAGGCATTACTGATGCATCCTTTTTGGAAGAAAGAACAGTCTCATCTGACATTATGATTGTGCCCAATTGAGTTCTATACATCAAAAGATTGTTTCGAATCCTGAATTGATCCAATAATATTGACCTTAAATAAAAATTGTTTTAGAGAAGTGCCGCAACTAGTTTAGAGAAAAATCTGATGATCGAAATTATTTTGCTTAAAGGAAATTTAGCAAAATACTTGTTCAAACCCACACCATTGCTGAGGTTGAGCAGTATACCTTCTAGGCTTCTATCTTACCTCCAAGGAAGATGAGGATAGGTTGATAGCATGCTTACCCCACAAACCGTAATACGAGGGTGCTGAGCAGTATAGCTACCTGTCTCTAACTTGGAAGTTGGAACACTTGTATCGTATCAATTACCATAATATTAGACAGAAGTTGATCGGCTTAGTGTGACTGGATTGCTTATGGTCTATATTTTGTACCAAGTACGATATAGTTATCCCAACAGTCGAAAAATACAATGTTATTCTAGCTCACTGAGCTGGGTGCTTGCTCTGTTTCTCATCATGCTAATTCCCAATTTTCTGAGAACAGATGCTCCTGGTTGATTGGGACAGTAAACTGATGGACCACTCCACACGTATATATAAAGTTTTGTTGATCACAGGAAGCCTGGAACTCAAGTCGTATGGCATACAACAAAAGCCTAGATATTGGAGGCCTTGAACAGTTGAACACTAGAGGTCGAAGTTGAGTTAACAATGTGCAGACAGATTGAATGATCTTGGAGTGTTGTCAAATCATGAAACACATAGCTAACTTTGGAGGTAAATGTATGAATGTATCTTCATTGGTTGTATGATCAGGAAACTACATCGTTTCATGGTCCAATACAGACATGTTGGATGTTACAGAAAACAGATTCAGTGGTTTACACATACTAAAGTAGGCACTGACATATTGAACATTTTAACCTTATATATCAAGAAACCAAAGGAAAAGAAAATTAGACAGCTATGAAATGAATATGGTATGAGGAGGCCTTGAAGCTCCTAAACCCAGCAAGGGTTTTGTTCCAGGATCAAATTACTTCACACTTTTGTACATGCTGTCGATGACATTCTGAGACAAAAGTTATTCGGTCAATAAAGCTAGGCATAATGTATGGTTGTACATAACAGGCACAAACATATAAAACACTTTGGAAATATAAATTTGCAAGTTGTTGTGAATGATGAATGAAGACAGAATTTTCTCTTCTCTACAGTGATCACTCCATCTCTTCCTCTTTTCTTATACATGCATCTTACCTTAAAAGTAAACAATTCAATCCAAGGGCTTCTTCAATGGGAAAGAATTAAACAAACCATGTAACAAATAACAATTAGATGATCCAAGCCCTTTTCCTGCGGTGTTCTTCTTTGGTTTTAAACCCCCCATTTAGTGAATTTTTGTTTTATGTCCATCCAAGCAAGAGTTGATGGTTTGCCAGTTCCAGCATGACTCCTATGGTTCCATGAACACTATAGTGTATAGTCATTTTTTTCTCCAATTTTCTTTTTCAGGGGGAAGGAGGGTTTGACATTAAATAAGAGGGAAGTCATATAGACCCAATCAAATGAAAGCACACATGTTGGGTACAAATTCAGAGCAGCTAAGGAAAAAGCATGCAGAATTGCAGAGATAGAGAAGATTTGAAATGAGCCATCTATTAGCAGGAAAACTCTGGGCGGATCTCCCATCAATTTAGAATCAGGGGCACGTTTTGGAATTCCAAGGGGCAAGAAACTAACCTGGTAGTACTTGAGTAATTGAGGCCTCTTCTTCTTGTATGTTGGGGTGAGAAGATCACGCTCCATGTCAAATGGCACAGGTTCTAGGTGAACAGCTTTGATAAACTCAAAACCCTTTAGCTGCCAAGAACAATGACAAGTCAGGACCACCTAAATTTAAGTAGCAGGAGCTCTCATGTTCCAAATGAAAGTAAAGTCTTCAGAGCTAGTGAAGGAAAAAAAAAAAAAGAAACCTTCTTTTCTTTGGCAATCTTGGTGAGTTCTCCAAGGATGTATTCTTTTGCCATGGGATTCTCGCATAGAGAACTAAAGTCCCCAGTTATTCCGTTCTCTTCAGCCCAACACTCTAGGGCTTCTTTGTTGGGGTTGACAACGGCTACGAGGAAGGACTGAAAGCTGTTCCCATGAATCCATATCTGAAACAGATAGAAGGCAGATTACTCTCTCGACAAGCCAAAAGCGAGGCACATCTACAGTGGTTGAAACTTGAAACGTGAAAGAGATAAACTCTATCCATTACCAAGTCAATATCAGGAACAAGACCATAAACATTTTCCAGGTTCTCAACAGCAACATATTCTCCCTGTGAGAGTTTAAAGATATTCTTCTTTCGGTCAATAATTTTCATACTTCCATCTGGTTGCCACTCGCCAATGTCTCCTGCATACAACTTGATAGATGAGACTTGGGAGCAAGGCTGACGAACTAGCCAATTTTTCTTTGCTGAGAGGTCTTGAGCAAACCTGTGTGGAACCATCCATTAACCATAACCTCCTTGGTGAGATCTTCGCGTTTGTAGTATCCTGAGAATAATGTTTTGCCACGTATGCAGATTTCTCCACGTGGCGTACTGGAAAGAGCATCATATCCCATTTCTGGGACAGATTCCAAGCATACATCCACATTTGGTATTGGAGGTCCCACTGTACCAAGCATGGCTAGTTGGTTTGGCAGTGAGACAAAAGACCCCGCACAGGTTTCTGTCAAGCCTATATACCAATGAAATATAGCCAAATCTTGTTAAGTACAGTATTAATGTAAGCACCATACTTGTTGTGTAGCAGCTTACAGGGAAGATGAGATGCATTGCTTCTATGAAATATTCTATGCAATTGCCTCTGAGCATACAACCACTTAGGCTATGTTTGGTTTGAAGGAAAAGGAAGGGAAACATAGGGAAACCTATACGAGGTTTATAAAGGGTTTCCTACATTTTCCTTCCTTTCCCTACTTTTTCCTTCAAACCAAACACTGCCTTATTGATGATTTTGTGCACTACTCCTTTGTGGCTATGCAAAAGAATGTGGTTTTATGGCTACAAATACTGTCATCTGATGATGGGATTCATTTTGGTCCTAGATATCATTTGCCAAGAATTTAAGAGATCAACTTGGCATAAACATCACAAACGAGAAAGCCAAGGAAAATAAATATATACGTATGTATTTGACTGTGAAGACATGGGTGAATCCTATTCAATCCAATTCTCAAGTTCTAATAGTTCTCTATGCATTAAGTGGATGTGAAATAACACATATAATCTGCATACTCAGTTAGGGCAACCTATAGGAAAGATACAATGGTGCCTTGTTGTTAGTCCATTTGGTCACCTCTGCAGTCTAAACTACAATCTTTGGACTATGATTCTTTTAAAGGGTTTAATTTAACAATCATGGGCATGGTTGTCAATGACAGGTGAATCTGTTGTAGAGACTAGAGAGCTTTTCATTTAGTACATAGGTCTATTGATTTCATTGATAAAATAATAGATAAATCTGATTGCAGCTTGAGCTACAGTTTCTACTTCAAGACATGGCCAAAACTAAAAAGGACACTACAGAAATAACAAGTTTGAACATAGCATCCAGTCTCGAATTGGTTGAGAAAACACTTTTTGCAATCGTTTCTGGTAAATTAAAGCACAATCGAATACATATTATTAGTTTCTACTTCAAGAGACTGCATACCATATCCCTGTAGAACATGGGAACATGTCACCACTCGTAGGAAAGCTTCTACATGTCTAGCAAGAGGTGCTGCACCTGAAAGAATAAGTCGAACTCTCCCTCCCAACCCTTGCTTTATCTGGGGATTTGCAAAACGATTACTAAAGCAAAAAGTAGGCCATAACCTACGGCTTCCATTCCATGTTTTCAGAAAAGAGAGAAAAAAAGCTAGGGAATCTGCTATCAATATACACCCTTTACCTGACTAAAAATAAGCTTGTCAAGAGTTGGAGCTGCTTCTACATGTTTATGCCCTCTACTCATGTTAAATAGCTTGCTGCATCATTTCCAAATTGTAAATTAAAACCATAAAGTAACCAGAATATTGAAAAATAGAATCTGAAGGCATATGCTAAGGCTGTGTTTGGTTGCAGTGCAATTTTATTTGCATTATTAGTACAAATGCATAGGAATACAAATGAAAATAATGCACATTCTGATTTAATTTTGTTTTGGGTTTTACTTTATTTTGCTTCATTTGTACTGCAATCAAATAAAGTAAGATACATTTTAAAATAAAAATAAATCGTAATTTGCACTACCATGATTTTACATCAGTACAAATAAATTTGCATTGCAACCAAACACAGCCAAAGGAGTAAATATATGAAAGAAAATGGAGGAAATAGACATTAGCCACCAATAATGAAGTTCCTCTTGGTGGTTAGCTTTACCAAATTTTTTTCACTGAAATTGGTTGGTTCATCACTTGGTTGTTGCCTGAATGATCTGAGATCAGTAACATTCCATGTGTCTAGTATACAGAGGATTGGGTCCAAAAACTGAATAAGATTTGCTTGCAAGATAAAATTAGCTGGGTTAACATTCTAATGCCTTCTTTTTGTAAGATTTCCACCCTCTGTAGGAATTGGAATAAGATGAATGGTTGAGATGATCTAATATTCTCTTATGGCTTTTAACTCTTATGATGTCTTGGATAAGCCCCATTAAGTCCATTATTATACATGAGAATTAGGTTTAGTAGAACTTACTAGTTGTATGCAATATTAAACAGTGTGTGCTTCAAGAAACCACCTGAAGAGATTTTCTCTATCAAACCTGAAAATGTATATAATGGCCAATGCAACTAATTAGTACACCCATTCTTTTATAACCTGCAAGAGAACAAAAGTCCAGTGCAAAATGCATTCCAAATTGTACCTGAATAGATCCTATCCAACACACGTGGAACAGCGCAAAAAATAGTTGGTCTTAGCTCCCTAATGTCCTCTACCAAAAGTTTGACATCCTGATCATGAATATGCAATCAAGAAGCCAGTTGATTTATATTCAGACTCTTAATGAAGCTCTCAATATTAAAAGGGTATGCAGTGAATTAACTAATTACCCCACACCAAAATCCTATTGAGGCACCATGAGAAATAAACAATTCCTCCATCGCACGATCAAAGATATGAGCCAGAGGTAGATAAGACAGATAAACATCCACAGATTGCAACTGTAAAATTTATCCCATCAATAAAAGTGTATTAGAAATAGAGTTGGAAAGCTGAAATGAGTACATATATACGAATTCGCACCTCTTCCTTGGTGAGTTCTAGCTGCAACTTCACACCAGCTATAAGAGTAATAATGCTTTCATTGGAAATCATAACTCCCTTGGGGTCACCTGTTGTGCCACTTGTATACATTATTGTGCAAATATCGGATTTCTTTATCACTGGAGTATCAAAATGTTTATTATTTCCCTGCATATGAACCAAAAGTGTGTAAAATTTGACGTCAGAATAATTTACTTTAAATATTGTTTCAGAATTTTGACATACCTTTCATTCTTTCATGTTTTGAGCTTATAGAACTTTGTATTATATATTATAACAATTAAGCTAGGAGAACAACAAGATTACAATATTTGATTGTTATTTTCAGAACTTAAATGATTAATTTTGGGCCTAAATATAAGGAAGCAAGTTCTCTAATTCTTGGACTTGATTGCATAGGTGTTTAGACAACAACTCTGTTTCTCAATGGTATGATGGATCAGTCATCAACTATCACTACCTAATCTCACAATTTTATGATTGATCACCAATCCTAATTAAATTTACTAGAGCCTAGTCGGTAAACTAATTCATAAGAAATAGATGAAGATGCAAAACCATTCAAAATAAAATGATCAAAACAATTTTAAACTTTCATGAAATATTACAAGAAAAGTAAAACTCTTCCAACAGCATTCACCATGATTTTGAGAAGCAATTACAACTGAGATCCAAATACCAAATTGATTAGCCTACCAGTTGTAAGAATTCATCCCAAGAATATATTGCCAGACCAAACTTTTTCACCTCTGCCTTTTGTTCAGGTGTGACCATGCCAAAGCTCACAAGAGCTGCAACACAATCAAATTGTCAATGTCTGATATTTTTCATGCACCAAGCAAAGGAAAGAAATGGACAAAGTCGAATTTACTTTTCAAATACTTCGTTGTGTTAGGAAATGTTTTCAACACCTGAGAAATAAAAGGAAAAGAAAAAGATCACCACTAAATATAGAAAGAAGTTGCCAGCTAATTGTTTAAATATAACAAAATAATACTTTCTGTCAAATGATAGATTAGCTATGATTGAAGTTCAGACTTTGTAATTCAGGCTGCGTTTGGAAACAATGCAAATAAGTGTGAATGCAAATATGTAAAGTGTGAAAGGGTCCATATAAATTAGTTTTGCACTGACAAATTTACCTTCTTATCAAACGGACTTTTAGTTGTAATAGATGCAAACATGAATTCCAATAGAGCATATGTCTTTTTTTTTTATCAAAAGCTCACTTGAATGCAAATTTACTTCTTTTATATTTATGTACTTTTACATCTTATTATCAATGTAAATATGTATTGAAAAATACATTTTTTGTCATTTGTCAATGCATAAATGTAATGTTGCCAAACACAGGTAAAAAGTGAACCAGAGTGCAAATTTACCTTGAATCAAGATTTACACTCTATTTACATCATTTCCAAACGCAACCTCAGCAAATAATTGGCTCCTACAAAGAAAATGCAAATATAGAAGCATCATATACCTCAGGAATCTTTTTTTCCTCTACAAAAGCAATTGACACCTCTGCATGACATATAATAAATTCCACAGCACCAGCACCTACAATCATAAAAGAATAGTTAAACTTTCATCAATTACTATGTTTATCAGTAATTACAAGCATACCAATCAACAAGGCTTTACACCAGAAAATGTCTCTACCATAGTTTATCAAATCTCGATATGGTTGGAAGGCATTACATCCATATATTGCTAGATAAAACACATGAGCCAAGATTATTGATAATCAAATGCTTATACAAATTCATTGATGCCTTGAAAATACATACCAAGGGTGTCATATAGAGGAACACAATAAATCCCATGGGCATTGCAAGCCTACAAATATTTTGTAGCATTAGGTCAAGAATACCAAATAGAGGTTAGTAATGGTAGACTAAAGAAAACATGAATAACAAACTAAGATTAACCTATAAGACCATTAAATAGGATTTGACAAGTGACATTGAATAAGAGTTGCCTAAACCTGTAACTCAAGGGATAAATTGGCATCAGCTCTTAAATTAAACAATAGAAATTTCATATAATATCAAACTAGCTAATACCTCCATACTCATAACCCATTCTGGACAATTTGCACCATAGATACCGCATCTTCCTCCCTAGAAATGTCAAAAGAGCAATAACCCAGCTATCAAAAACCAAGTACATAAAAAAATCTCAAATAACTCACTACTACCAATTGACAAGTCATCGGATAATTAGCTGCAACGAGATCGGCTTTAGTCAGTGCAAGGCCCGTTTGAGCAGCCTTTACAGTCATGGGGAAATATTCCTAATGCAAGGCCATAAAGGCTGTTCGAACGGGCCTTGCACTGATTGAAGCCGAGCTCGGCTCAGTGGCAGACCCAGGACCTTTGATCAGTGGGGACACATCTATGGCCTCATTCTTAGGCCTTTTAAAACCATGAAAAAAAGACAGTCAAATTTTATTTAGCCCCTACTGTTTTATTTGAGTGGGGGCAATTGTAAAAAGGTAAATAAATTTCTTCATATACATCTAAAACATTTTCAAATCTTAGTGTGGGCAATTGCCCACACTGGCTTTTACATAGATCTGCCACTAGTTCAGCTGAAACCAAAGGAAAAACAATTGCAACATGAAAATACTTAATTTTCCCATTTGAATGAAAAGATTTTTTTTTCTCTCTTTTTTATGAACTAGTAAATATGTACGTGCATTGTACGTGATGGTATCTCCAAGACAAAATTATGTACAATTCATGGACAGTTTTTGAACAGTTATAAGTGAGCAGTTTCTTAACTGTTATAAGTGGACAATGGACAATTTTTAGAGTGTGAATAAAAGACATATATGCCCGTTATATGCTGCTTAGATAAAGGATAAAAAATGTCCAATGAAAATTCCATAGAAAAAGGACATTTACTCTTTTATAGGTAGTATAAATATAGATAGATATAGATTATTTTCTTTCTTTTTTTATTTGTGTTTCCATTTTCTCCTCTTTCTTTATGGAAGTATCACTTATACATCCGTCATCAAAGAATCTAAAACAATGACAAAAATAAATAAAATCATTGTCTTCCCCATGAGAGCAGTGTGACCCAATAAAATACTGCAATTCAGAAATTGTTATCAAGGTTGAGAATGAAAGGTGGGAGGCTTAACAGTCATTATGATGAATGGAAATTGATTATTAACAGATCAGGGCTTAGGCTGCCTGTGACGGGACCTTAGGCCAGAATGGGCTCAACAGATCAAAAAACTAATAAAGGAATATAATTGTTGCTCCAGGCTCTTATATTGAAATTGAACAATTACATTAGAACAGACAGAAACTTACTTTCAAAACACCACAACTACGGATGGAAAGCCCAACTTTGGTCACAGTGTCATACACTTCTTCATAAGTTTGCCACACATATTTACCTGGCTGCAGAGAGACAACAAGTAGTAGTTATGAAACAACTATCAAGCCTTTAATTTGCTAAATGCATGGAGAAAGGATTGATTTATGTGAAGAAAGCAGAAAACAACAAAATTAAATCATCGCAAAGAAGACGTACCTTCCCATTCACAATCTCACGACCACCAAGCATTGGGTTCGTAGGATACTTCTCAACGGCAGTGCTGTAACAGAATCGAAATGTCAACCATTTTCATGACATTTAAAAGGTGATTCAACATAACATGGAGATGTGCTTCCAGTTATGGAAGGATTTTAACCAAATAGAATTCAAATGCATGCCATATACAAGGTTTTGCGTTTTAAATCATCTCACTTGCAAATCTAAACCAATAAAGCCCACGGAAAAGAAATAAATTTACGTTCATTTGTATTAATGGGTCCTATTGAAAGAAAGAAAAAACGATTTTCGTGCACTAGAGAAGTAATACTCTACTTAGACTTGGATATATTATTTATCCATGTGATGGGATAGTTTGTCGTTTCAATAATGTCACTTTTTTAGATAAATCGATTATTATGTACACCTTTACTAAAAACTTACTCGGGTAAATGCATTTTCCCAAGTAAGTTATTTATTGAGGTGGGAACTAGGTCTAAATATAAGGCCAAATTTAGTAAAGTATCCCTAAGTTTTAGGAAATTGATTTACTCTATCCCTACTATTCAAAAATTGCCTTACGGGTATCCCTAGGTTTTTTGATAATTGACTAAATCCACCAGTTCCGTTAACATTTCATCAAAATCCATTCACATGTGACACCACGTGACAGAGAGAATTTTTAAATCCCATTATCCTTTTATCATCGATTTTGCCTCCATTATTCTTCATATTTTTGAAATAAAACTCAGTATATTCAAATATTCACCAACACCTCTACTTATACATCGTCTCTAATAACTACTGCATCTTCCTTTTCATAGATGCCAATTTTTCCGATGAAACCATCACACATCTGAGTGGCAAAATCGAATCTCTGGCTCTCCGGTTCAACACCAATAGAGGAGTTCTTGAATAGAGACGTGACTAGTCGTTGAGAATCCATGAACATAATCAACAATCAACACTTAAGCAAGCCGTAAACAAAAGATACATAGAATCGTGGACTGTTTAAACACTGCAGGTTTATTTGATCAAAATGTTTCATTTTGAAAATTTAAAGAAGAATGATGGATAAAATAGCATTTTAATTATTTTCTATCTTTTTATTTACAAACTCTATTGGTAGAGGGTATTTAGTCAATTTTTAGAAAATTTGGGGGCAAATTAAGGCGATTTCTAAACATTGGGATAGGCTAAGGGTATTTTGACAGATTTGCCTTAAATATAATAAATTCACATTTGTTGCTTAGAATAGGTTAGTAAAGTAAGAGAATAGATGTCTTGGGTCCATAGCTCAGTGGCAGAGCATTTGACTGCAGATCAAGAGGTCGCCGGTTCGAACCCGGCTGGGCCCTAATGTTTCCTTTTTCTGATAGAATAATAAAATAACCAACAGATTTTTCTTTTTGTGTTTTCTATAGCTAGCTAATTTTCTAACAGAATGAACTACGAACACGTGGAGGTGGAGCTGCACGGGGGTCGCTAAATTGTGCTGCGAGTGTGGTCGCAGGTAATGTTTTGTCGCACTGCACGTACATGCTGCCTCTTTATGATCCAACGATGTCTCTTGTCTTGAGACCAATAGAGAGAGATTTTACGCAGTTATCAGAGCACAGGGGAAGATAGCAATCTAAAAGAAAAACAAAATATTCACGAGTCACGACGCGCTAAAGTTTCAAACCTCACGCGTTGATTTGTGGTTGTGGAGTGAGGAAAAACAAAGATTTGATCATTTGAATTCTCGAGTAGAAAGGAATTCAAGCACCCAATTCAAGAAAAAATGAATCCAATAATGCGTTGAAATGCAAACCAAATTCAAGTGAAGAACTGAAACAACCCACCGGAAAACATCCCAGCAGCTCTCCATTCCTTCGACCTGCGGTGGAAACCCATCCTTAGCGAACACACTGCGATAAACGGGACCCGTCGAAGGCCGCCCATCGGTCGCTTCCTTGGCCGCATCGACCTCAACTACGAACCTCTTATGCTGCAGCTGCACCATTGATATCTTGATCTTTGCGTCTCGTCGATGGGGCTAATTTCTCCCTTTCCCAGAGTTAACGGTGGTGAAGAAACTCAAATTCAGAGCTCAATATTTGAAGAAAAGGAAAATGGGATAAAAAGTCGCAAGTTAAATAAGACATTTTAAATGCTTTTGGTGACCAAATATCTCCATTGGATGGGATCATGGGAGTTGGGAGTTGGGACTTGCAGAGCTCCCACTCCCTCTCCCTGAATGCCATTATGCCAACGCTCTTGTTGACTTCTACACCAGAAAGATAAACGAAAGAGTTAAAAAAAAATCAAACAGGGTAGGTTGGCATTTGGTCATCCACTTATAGAACGACTCTGGACCGCCCGATCTTGGACCCCGCAACCTGTGTGGCACTATCAGCAGCTACAATATACTACGGAATGCAATATCTGCTTACGTAACCTCAATTTTTTCAGGGATTCTTTTTCAAGTTAGATATAACTAACGAAAATTAAAAATATATTATAATTCAGAGAAAATTCCCGATTACCCTTCGGGCTTAGTGTCAGTTTGGTATCCAAGCTTTTAACATGTGTCAATTCAGTAACTGTCATTAATCAATCGATTAAATAGCTACTAAGTAATATTTGAAAAGACAACATCTAATTTTCTTTATCAATCATTCACATGTTGATAAAAAATGAATGGTCTCAAACCCTTACCTCTTCTGCTTAAGAAAGTTGGAGTCACTAATGCCTACTGAAACATAACCCCAACGTTCTTGAATAGAAGAGGCAAGGATTTGAGATTATTCATTTTTTATCAACGTTGGATGGTTTATAAAAAGAATTAGATAACGCTCGAAGGGTATTTGTGCCTTTTCAAATGGCATTTAATGGCTGGTTAATGGCATGTATTAGATTGACACGTTTTGAAAGCTTGGGCACTAAATTGTCACATTTTAAAGTTAAGGACCCAAAGTGGCATTAGACGAGTATTAATCTAGATTTTTTCCTATAATTTATACAAGAAGAGTTAGGTTGGAAGATTCACATGCATATGCACCCCACAGCACCCAATGGCATGGTTGGGATGTACTATGCCCCACAGCACATCCCAACCGTGTATTGAAAATATCTCCCGATGATGTGGGGTGCTAATGTAAACTCCCCTCTATGGGGTGCAGATGTGAATTCTGATTGAAAGTAGACCTATTCATGTGAATTCACATTTCTGCCCCACTGCACATCTCAACCATGTACTGGATGCATCTCCCAATAACAAGTACAGAAAATATCCAATGCACGGTTTGAGATGTACCGTGGGGAACAGATGTGAACTCTGTTCATGTGCGGGTAGCCCAAACGGACCAGCCCGGCTCTGCCTATTTTTTGTTGCCTTTAAGCATGTTTTTAAGCCCATAGACTTGGGCTCGGTTACAAAACAATATGTTCGACTCTTTTCAGGCTGGGCTCGGATTTTTTTTGGGTCTGAGGTTTTTAAAAAAGTTGAAGTCAGATCTGATAATAATTTATATAATATTTTTTCATTTCAAGCAATAGTAAGATCTTTTAAATGAGGGTCAGTCTCAGAATTGGGCCTGATCATATTCTATTAAAGTATTAATATAAGAGGTAAAGCGCGACCCAAACCCAACACAGCCTGACCCATTAACAGGTGTAATTGTAAGTTTCCACAATATTATGCCTTTCTTGTATCATAGTGGATGATGCTCATGAAAATCTCAATTAAATTGAAAAATTCGGGTATCTGATTAATCGGTTTGGTTTTAAGATATTTGATTTCAATTAACTTGGAAATCGAAAAAAAATCATGATTAACCATATTAATACATTTATATGGTATATACTTTTATTAATTATATATTATAAATATTATAAATTTCAAAATAACGGATTGAACACTAGTGCAGCACTAATGCGTATCAGTTTTCTTGCTGCTAGCAACAAGCAATGGCTTTCGTATATCAACGCTCATGGAATTGCTTGTCCCATTATCATGCATGTAACGGAGCTATGGAATTGGTTAAAGATTTTTGTTTCTTTTTTGTTTTATTTTCTTATATATGTTTGTTATATTATACCAATTCTAATTTGTATTATCTTAACCCCCCCTCTCTTTGCAAAATTATCATTCTTGACCAAGGAATTGTGTGTTATATATGTCTATTATTTAATAAGTTGAATATAATATAGTTTTTGACAATATTTTAGATGATTTCGAATTGTGTGTTTAATTTAGAGTCCATTTGGCGTGTCTTTTTGAGAACATCTTCTTTTTGCTCTGACAATCAAAAGACACATTGAGCTTTTGATATAAGATCAGGGCAGCCCGAAGGCAGTTTGGCAGACGTGCACCTTTCTGTGTGTCTATTCATGTTTTTTCGCGCGAGATTAAAACGCGAAAGACGCGAGAAGCTTTCTGAAATCAGCCTGAAATGGGCTTTTCGTGTCTTTTTGGTGCACCGTCTTTTGGTGGCTAGATTTTCCACAAGCAAAACGGGAATAGACTAAAAATCAGTCTTCCCAGCTTGTAAACAACTGAAAGATCACGTAGAAAGATGCGCCAAACAAGCCCTTATTAAAACATGTGAGCATTGAACTTAGTATATTTTTTTTAAATTAGTTGTATTTAGACAAATTATTTAAATGCTATTGTAATTTTTTTTTTGTTGGTGATGAAATAATAGTTGATTGTTTACTTTAATTTAGGGAATGAAGAGAATTTACTGTATAAAATCAATTCAAAAATAGGAAAAAAACTGATCAACCGATTGATCAACTAGTTATTTAGTTCAGTTAGGAAATATACTCATAATTCGGTTAGTGGAACCTTTTTTTGGGTAGTACATTTTTTGAAGTTTGAATGAGAGAATAAAGGTGGGAACAAAGCAATGTGCATGTGAGGCCCATTAACCATGGAGATGGTGCAATTTTGTGGATTTGATCATATGCCTGATCATCTAAGGATTCTTGCACGTGAAAAACTGCTATAGGCCCAAAGCTATTATTTGCATTCCAACCACGATAATAGCATGAAATTTAAAATACTAATAACCAATCAATCAAGTATGTATGTATGTATGTATGTATATTTGGTAAAAATCAACCAGTATCATATATTGATAAAGTATCGGTGTGTATCACATGCATATTGAAGGTTGGAAACACAATGGTGGAATTTTTTAGACTTTCTTAACCCTTTTAACTCCTTCAGCACAACTCTTATAAGATAACACTTATTTAAGTAAGTGCATTTATCCATGTTCTTTTATTTCCCAGGTAAATAAGATAATGACCATTTTAACCATGAAAAGTCATTATTAAAAGGGGCAATTTTGTCTTGTCCAAGTGTTGGCAATTTTCCCTCAATTTGAGAATTGAAATTTTTATTTTCCCACTTAGGAGGGTAAGTGATACCCATGAAAAATAAATTTCCAATAGACCCATATAAATCTGAAAAAAGAAGATTGGTATCTCCCCCCTCTCAACCAAATAGTCCTCACCTAGCTAGCAGCTTGTTGAATGGTTATTTTGGTAAAAGTTTTGTTGTGCAATTTTATGAGAATCAATTCCTCCTACCAAAGGCCTTTTACCTACCATGTACACGGAGGGTCTAAACATGAAAAATAAATAATCCAAATACTAGATAAATGAAAATTATTGTACACGTACTATTGGCAGAGGACCATGCATGCATGCATCCGTAAGTCAATCTTACAATTCAATTAAAGACTGTTTGGCAAGAAAAATGTAGGGAAAGGAAGGAAAAGATAAAGAAACCTTTATAAAACTTGTATGGGTTTTCCTATCTTTCCCTACCTTTCCCTTCTTTTCCCTATCTTTTTTATCAAACCAAACATAACCTTAATGTAATGTGTGAATTTTATGATCTGCGTAGCTAACAATTTGTTTTGTTATTGACAGATCCAAATTCATTAATGTGAAAGCATATTGACATTGAGAAACTGGACAAAAATATCCAAACTCATGTAAAGTCTACAAAGCATTGGAAAGAAAAACTATCAAAAGCTCCCAAGAAGATATGAGGTCGGAGCTAGGTAATACTAAACAATTAGATTATAACAAAGAGAAAAAAAAAAGGTAAATTGTTGAAATCTTCCTTGACATTTTGGGTTATTGTTGAAACTCTCCCTAAAATTTGGTAATTGCAATCACCTCCCATGAATTTTTTGACATAGTTGCAAGTAGATCTTTGTTGTTTGAATCTTCAAAAAAGAAAAAAAAAAGAACGGAAACACGAAAATATCCAAAATATCCATGCAGTTAGCTTTGACCAAAATGCTTCTTTCCAAGTTTTCTCTACATATGAAAGGCTACCCCAAATCCTTCCCATCTCTTTTCTGAAATTGATTTATCTTCTAAATTTTCCCATTATATCAATCATTCAGAGATAAAGATGCAAATTTAAATACTCTTTTTTTCTTGTTTTAATAAAGTTTATATATATATTGTCAAACCAGCCTCAATAGTTTTTGGATATTTTCGGGCCTCTTTTTAGAAGATTTTAACAATAGTCCAAAGCATAGGTAAGATTTCAACAATTTGCCACCCAAAATGGCGAAAGATGAAGAAATGTGAACATGAATGTAATTACGCAAAACGAACAGGAGACGGGGAATTTCGACAGAGAGGGCAAGTAGCGTTGAGTCGCAGCCACTCGTCGATGCAATCAGCGTGAAAGCAATGCTGACACTCGGGTATGCATCTCAGTGTCTCCTTCGGCCGGTACTCCGACAGGCATATCGAGCAAACACGGTCGTTGGGTCCGGGAAGGCGTCGACTCTCACCCAGAATCAGTTTCTTGTAGGATTGTATGATGGACTCATCCAAACCAGTAAATATAATCACGGGTTGTGGCGGGATCACAGCATCAGCAGCCTCCTGAGGCAGGTGGTTGTCGGACTCGGGTCCAACAACGTTCCACATCCACTTTTTTGCTGCACACAAGTAACTGGCGATACAGATGGAGAGCATCATCAAGGGTATCAATATGCCTAGTGCAATTCTTTTGAAGACTCGAAACCCCTTGGGTGAATGATTTGTACTGCCTGAAACATGTTAGTCACTTAGCATCAAGCCATATATAACATATTACAGGAACGAAGCTCCCTCTAACTCCCAATCCATACCTTCTTAAAATCTGTAATAGGCTGGATTTTTCAGAATCTAAAACTTTTAGACTGTGTTTGGAAATAATGTAAATAAGTGTGAATGCAAATATGTAGATTGTAAAATGATTTGTATAAATTGTAAAATTGGATTAATTTTGCACTGACAAATTTATCTTCTTACCAAACAGACTTTTAGCTATAATGGATGCAAACATGAATTCCAATAAAGCATATGCCTTTCTTTTCTTTCTTTTTTTTTTTATCAAAAGCCCACTTGAATGCACATTTACTTCTTTTATATACTTATACATCTTATTATCAACTTAAATATGCATGTGTCTGTCATTTGTCAATGCATAAATGTAATGTTGCCAAACACAAGCAAAAGTGAACCAGAGTGCAAATTGGGATTTACACTCCATTTGCATTGTTTCCAAACGCAGCCTTAGGTTGTGTTTGGTTGCAATGTAAATTTATTTGTACCGATGCAAAATTATGGAAGTACAAATGATTTGGATGCAAATTCTGATTTATTTTTATTTCAAAGTTTACCTTATTTTGTTTGATTGCAATACAAATAAAGTAAAATAAGATATGGCGCACAATAAAGTAAAAAACCAAAACAAAATTAAATCAGAAATTGCATTCTTTTCATTTGCACTTCTAAGCATTTGTACTAATGCAAATAAAATTGCACTGCACCCAAATACAACATTTACATGAAAATGCAAAACTCTCTCTGAGCCTACCTACCACATTTGAGGGTGAGGTGAGTCAGATTGGCCAATTGGATCCAGCATCCACATCTAATTTCCAATTATTTTTCTATTATTTGCAAGTAATAAGCAATTTCCAATTATTTTTCTATTATTTGCAAGTAATAAGCAGGTAACATATAGCATGAACAAAGATCAAAATTTGTACTTATTTAATTAAACATGTCAAAAACACAAACTATCAAATAATCTTCATGTAACATTCAAAATATTATTATATTCATATGCCATCCAATAATATCTGAGTTGGGGGGAGGGAGGGTTGGGTTTAGCACCTGTACCCACATGGGTAATTATGAAATCTCAAAACTCGTCCCTGAGCCCTCCCCTTAGGGGGGAGTAGGAGCGAGTATCCGCTGAATAAGGTAGAAATTACCATTTCTAATTATTACTTAGATATAAATTGTAAAATCCAAATCTGATTTTATTAATTTCGAATATCAACATAATGGATTACATGCTGCAGCCTTTGAGGAATTTTAATCTAGAGTTAGAAATGGTAGAAGCCATTGAAGGGAATTCCCGCAATGGCCGAGGTGACCTAGATGATGGTTGACATGGACAAGGCTGAGGGATAGGCTGGCTCCTGTTAACCATATGTTTATGGTGTTTGTCTTCTAGTGTTAAAATATTAAGGAGTTGGTACTATTTGTCCCTACCCTCTTGACTTTCAAACGAATGGAAGGCCTCCTTTGGATGCATGCTTTATGCTACTGCACCAGATAAGATCTCTTCTTTCTTTTTTACCTTACCATGGCCACATGGCCATAAGTAACAAGTTAGCAACTGTCCGATATCCCAAACAAAGGGTTGGAATCAAATGTTTGGTTTAAAAGATGATGCACACATGTAAAGTTATATTCATTATTTATTTAAACCGATTAATGGAATATTGTAACTTCTTATAATTCTTTTCATTTCTTCTTAGTTTTGATTGTCAAATGTCTATTATAGGGCAAATCAATGTATGTGAAAGGGGTAATATAAAAATTAAAAATAATGAGAAAATATTCACCTCCGCAATAAACTAAACCGTCATGATATATATAGTATCATATATGAGAGTATGTTGGATTGTCGGACCTATATTATAATTTCAAACTTAGCAAGCGAGAAAGGAAATGGATTGACAAGTTGTGTCTCCACTCCAGAACATCTCTAGTTTCTTCCATCGTTAAGTAACAAGGGTCCCCATGTGATCAGGAAAGGAAACCCTCCTTCCCCGCAACTTGGTCTCTCCTTTTTACCATTCTCTTACCTCTTTTGCAGGTCACTCACTACACCAAAAGGTAGGTTCAAGTGACAACACGATGATTGATATGCATGCATGGTTGTCTTGGCACATCAAATTGTCTGAAAAATAGCCATGTGGGCAGCGCCCTTCTCTCTCTCTCGATGCTTCCTATTTGAAGGAATGACGTAAGTCTCCAAAATTTTCCGCTTTAAACTCTTAGGCCGCGTTTGGTTTGCGGGAATAAGAGTCTGAAATCCGAATAGGAATGAACTATTCCAATTCCAACTGTTTGGTTGGGCAGAATTAAAATTCCATTCTCATTCCTGCTGAAATGATATTCTCTCATTTGAGGGAATGGCCATTCTCTACTCCTCTCTTGGGAATGAAATTTCATTTCTGCTGATTTTAATTCTCATTCTCATTCCTGTCTGAACCAAATAGATTATGGGAATGGACCATTCCAATTCTGACTGTAAACCAAATGGATCCCGAGTCCATTTGGTCCATAATCATTACTGGAATTGAAATCAAAGTCTATCGGACTCGGAATTGAAATAGTGTATTCCCCTTATTTTGTTCATACAGGAATCAGAATGGATTAGTTGGAATGGGATTTTATTTTCAAGCAAGGAGAGAAAATGATCATTCCCTAAAATAAGGAAATATAATTTTAAGGAAAATGAAAATAGGATTTCAATTCCATTCAACCAAACAGTTAAAAATTAGAATAGAAATGGGCAATGGCCCATTACAATTTCAGACCCTATTCCCATGAACCAAACAGTTAATACAATATAAATAATGCTGGTTACGGGGTGGTCGGAGTTCAAACAGTTCTGCATTTCTCTTGAATATTCTGAGCCTCAAATTTGTTTTTCAAATAACCTGAATGCAGTAAATAGGAATCTTGTTCCACCATTGCATATACAGATTGTCTATTGTGGCCGTAATTTGCCACATGGCAAAGAGTTTGACCTGGTGGAATTGTGGAAACCATAAAAACCAATTTTGTTTTGCCACATTGACTGCCACTCGTTATACGTTATAGATTTAAGAGGTGCTCTGAGATTTAAGAACTCTTCGTAATACAAACTTACCGAGTTGAATTGATATTATAACGATAACAATAAGAAATGGATTTTACCTCTATCGAAACATCCGACAGTGGAGTTGGTGGTGAATGAGCATATACCGCCCCGTGCTTCGCAGTCTCCACAGCTGGGCGTCTCCCATGTCAGACGAAGGACATCGCCGAGCTCAGATGAAAACCCAGATTCAAAAGGAGGCGGCCTTGAAACTGGAATCGAAACATTCCTCATGATCTCGCACAGTGTGCTTAACATGCTAGCGAGACTCACAGAGGCGATAGCCAGAACGCTGCGCGTAGAGTTGCTCAGGCAAGGGATGGGTCTGAACCGGGATGCAGTAAATTCCGACGAGCAACTAAGGAACGTGTAGTTCTGATAGCGGAAGCCCGTGAAAGGGGAACCCGAAAGATCGAGCTCCATAAGCCTTTTAGGCAGGCACCCGGACGAGTCGTGAAGCTGTATCTCCTGCGAGACATAATTGATGTTGTCGACGAGAAACGCTCCCGAAGACGGCAAGTCGAGAGTTGTTCTGCTCGAATCGTCGCAACTGAGTTCGAAACCGGGATACCCACAACGCTGGGGCTGGACATCTGGTAATCGGAAAGGGAATCGAATGATCGGATCAAGTTTACTGCACATGGAAACAGGGCAGTCACCTCCGACGAGTGCAAAAACCTTGGAAGCGAAGAGGAGGAAGAAAAAGAATAAAGGGATGAAGTGTAAGAAATGGGTAACCATCTCCTCGATCGTGAGAAAACCAATGAGTCGATCGCGTTGAAGTTGTTGTTGTTGTCGTTGTGAGACTTCACTGAATTGTGTCGTAGGCCAGACTGCAGCTTCGGTAAGAAGTCTAAGCTTATAGATCATAAATAGTGTGTATAAGAAAAAGACGTATCTGTAGATAGTAGATCTTGTAACGGACAACCAGCCAACCAGGGGTTTAGACTTAATTAGATTACGGATTACCACGTAGAAGGTTGCAGCAGAAAAAATAAAATAAAATAAAATAAAATAAAGCCAAGGGTGTGCTAACGGAGTCCGGATCTCCTGACCACAAGAACTCTGATAACATCTCATCCTCTAACTTCCTAATTGGTTATGCACGGAGAATTATTTCGAGTTCGGCTTCAGTCAGTACAAGGCCTGTTCGAACGCCATTCAACAGTTTACAGCCCTACATCGGGAATATCTCTGCACTGGAAGGCTGTAATGATTGTTTGAATAGGCTTTGCGCTAACTGAATCCGGTTTTAATTATTTTTAATGCATGGACATATAGTTATGTGGATAGATGTGGAAAGAGTTTTTGTGGTCAGGATATCTAGAATTGTGCTAATGCTAGTCACAAAAAAGGTACCATGAAGATGATCTTATTTTAGGCTTAAACTTTCAAATGTATCGCTTTAGTATCTAAATTTCTATAAATATATATCTTTGAGTTGAATTCCATTAAATTAATATTCAATTCTTTTTTTTTATTATTATTCATCTTTTTCTACCTATCGACTTAGGCAAATCCATGGAGATGAAATCTGCACCCCACAGAGGATGCCTACAAATGCACCACATGCACATTTCAGCGTGCATTGAGAATATCTCCCCAAAATTGTTAGTGAGAGATGTTCCAAATACACATTTGGGATGAGATTGGCTTCAGTCAATTCAAACAGCTTTTACAACTGTACATTGGGAACATCTCCGTATTTCTATGTTTTATTTCATGGAGAGATATTTTCAATGCAAGGCTATAAAGACTGTTCTAATGGGGCTTGCACTGATTGAATCCAATTTCATTTAGGATAGACTGTGGCTGTGGAGCTTTTGTGGGGCACAGATGTGAATTCAAATCCATGACAATAAAGCGAGTTTGAGCCATTTGTGACTTGTGTGTAATCTAAGTTTTGACACGTAGGGGGACATGCAATCAATAAAACACTATTACACTACCAAATCCATCCTAACAAGCCACTTGACGGGTAGTAACATCTCAGTTGTTATCCATAGGAATCTGGATCACTTGCTAACAAAGTATGTTCCAACACCCTCCCAAGATCATCTGACACTATACATCTTATACATGGCTACTGCAACGGCTGATTGAAAAGTTGTTGGCACCAAGCGTTTGTAACTGATTCTAGCTCCCTTTGGGTGCTTACTTTGTCAATGCTAATTTGTGTTCAAAGAGTCCAGATCTCCTGCGCACGTTTATCCATATAAATAAACAGATGTTCCCCCATATATTGAGGAGTGCATCGACTTCTCTTTGAAAATCTTTATTACAGATACAGATGGGGACCTGTAAACGGCCAAACACTTTCCACGTATTTTATCGGGATAAACAGTCACTCTCCTACCTGTCTGTTTATTTTGCCTAATATATTTGAGACAAGGGTCAGGATTCAACGCGGGTCGCGGGGACCCACTCATGGTAGAATTTAATATATATATATATATATATCCCACAAACCCACGTCCATTTGTAATTGAATTTTACTCAAAAGAAAAATTTCTCTCCATTATCTTCTCTCTTTCAATGTCTAGAAATCATCCATCTTTAGTTCTCAAGCTTCCATTCTTCCAAAATGTAACTATATTTTCCCTCTTTTCTGCTCATTCTCACGAAAATGAACTTTCCCTCTTTTCAATCTTAATCATCAAGGGTCTGCTCAGCTCAGGAATCCATTCCAATTTGCAATGAATCCAATCCATCTTGCTGTCTTGCTGTCAAAAGGTTTGCTTAAGGAAGAAACATACACTTCTACTTTCGTGCTTTCTTTCTTCATTTTCGTTAGGCTGCAAGGAGTGAGAACTCAAAATTTGCTTCTTTGCAAAAGGATTACAATGAATATGAGTAAGTAAAAGTGGTCACCAGGATTAAGAGAAAATATAAAATGTAGTACCAGTTCAATCTTTTGAATGAATTCTGAAATTGATTATTTCTTTAGAAAAGAATTGTAAGAAAACATAAAAATTTTGGATTACAATAAATAGCTTACTCTTTTCAATGAAGTCAACTCAGAAACTGAAATAATGTAATGACCCTACTTCTCCTATAAATGCAGAAGAAATAGAGAATATCAACAAGAGGAGAAAATCAGAAATTCAACCTCAGATCTCCGCCATTTAAATCTACAGCTCCACGTTTTACTTGGATGTCTTTGGTTGACGTCCAAAATGAACAGGAGAGGTAAGCATTAAACAGACTTAGACTTGACTACATCACTGAATTCATCGATTCCACTTTAAATTGACTTTTAATCCAATCCCACAAGTTTCTGCGTTTTGCCTTGAGGTTGATTTTGGTGAGAGAGTCCAACTCAGAAACTGTAGAATTTTAGGCAATCAACCAAGCTTTTTGGCATGCTTCTTTTGGAATTATGATTCCATCATTTGAAATGCATTATTTCTCTGTTTGTTTTTTAATCCAATCCAATCGTAGAACATGTACTCTTTAATATTACTTACTACTAACCACTCAGATGTGAATGTTGTTTTATGATCTCATCATATTGGATTCATTACCAACTATATATTTTTCACACTAGATGTTAAAATTTATTTCCATGTTATTATTCTCATCTTTGTTTTAATTTTCCCTATTTCTTTGGTTAGTTATTAGTTGAATTATCTTTTTATGTTTTATTTTTCCACTTTGACTGTATAAACAAGGGGTTATAATTCCCCAGCTAGATTTGACCAACCGTTGCACTCAAACACCCAATCTATAGGTTTCTAAAACTTGCTACTATCAAACTCAACAAGGTTTCTTCAGAGTTCATCAAACACCATGAAATTCCTGTCCTATCAGATGAAAAATGGTTTACAAATAGAAATGTATTTAGATTAGACCCCTTTTTTTGGTGGTTAGGTGCTGCTGCTCATTTGGGCAATGAGGAGAGCTGATTAATCGATATCTCATATCGGTTGTTGGTGGAAAGATAAGGCATAATATAATTTCTCTAGAAAGAAATGTTTGGAAAAAACACAAAGCCCAAAATTGCAATTAATTATATAGTCATTCAAGCAGCTCTTTCTTAAAGTTTATTTGCTGGCTTCTTGAGTAGCTTTAGCTAATATTATTTTATTTATAATATAGTGAAATTCAAATAAAATAATATTACTATAAAAACAGAAAAACTAAAATGATACATACGTGTGATTGCTCTATATTTACTACATGGTCATTTCTTAGATAAAATATGGTAACTCAAGTCTTTAATATAAATGATTTAAAAAAATGAAAATTTGAAATAGCTCATATTATTGGCCCTGTACTTAGTACAGGGGTCATGCCTAGTTTGAAAACAAAATAGTAACATCACAAGTAGGAACGGTCATTGGATCAGAATCTCGTTCTTTGACTCGTCGGGTTGAAGCGCGTGGAGTGCAATTTTTTTTTTTTTTTTTTAACGCCTATTCATTCATAATTGCTCAACTTACAAATAAAAAAATTAATAGCAATGAAAAACATGAAAAAAAGTTTGGCTAAATGCATCTAACAGAGATGAAGCCAGCAAGTGTGTCTCTCTAGCAAATGAGTCCGGATTAACTATTTTTCTTACCAATAAATTATATCAATTATATTTATATCCAATATTTTTAACAACATAAAACCCTTGTTTTCTAAAGCTGACCCAAAAATGAAACTTTTCTTCTATTCTAATGGTAGGTAAATAATTCAATCATGTAGGTCAAATGGTTCAACCCATAATGTCATAGTTAAATAATAAAACATAAAAAAAAAAACACAAATATATATAATTAAGCACACCTATAATATTTTAAATTAAAGAAAAATAAATATGATAACATATAATTTTTTAATTCATCTTGGGAATGAAGTACAAATTTTAAAACCAATCCAAAATGAAATTGTTTTTTTATTTGACAATGGGCCAACAATTATATATGGTATATACCACCAAATTGCACTGAACCAAACTAAAATTGGTCTAAGAATTCCTTAGACTGTAATTTTTCAGTTTGATCTTCTTTTCTAAATTTTAGAAACCAAACCAAACCATAAATCGTATTAAATCAAATCATTAATAATATATTTATTATGTATAATATATGAATATATATATATATATATATATATATATATATATAAATATATATGTGTGTATGTACATTCATATTTAACATTCCTTAGACTGTAATTTTTCAGTTTGATCTTCTTTTCTAAATTTTAGAAACCAAACCAAACCATAAATCGTATTAAATCAAATCATTAATAATATATTTATTATGTATAATATATGAATATATATATATATATATATATATATATATATATCTAAATATATGTTTGTATGTATACATTCATTTAACATTTCAAATATTATTATTGTTTTTTTTATTTTAACTTGTAATTCAATTTTCAATGAGTTGTTTTTGTTTGAGAAAGTGTATATGTAATTTATATAATAGTAATAGGTGTCACTTGTTAACATTTTAATTTGATATTTGAATTATATTTGTTATTTATGTAGGTATAAATGTTATTTGGGCTTTCTAATTAGGTTAATTCCAATAAAATGATTCAAACTGTATTAAAAACTAGACCAAACCATAATTTATTAAAACGGTTTGATTTGATCTAAAAATTTCTTAAACCATAACTTACTTGTTTGGTCTGATATCTTCTCCAAACCAAACCAGGAGCACCACTAAGCTTCTCTATAAACATGGTTCATTAACAAATGGTCCTTGCCAACTCTCTTAGTATCACCAACACCAAGTACATACCACAAATACCATGGACAAGCAATCTTTCTAAGCATGATA